GAAAACAAAATGGCTCCCACCCATGTGTTGGTGCCTGAAATTACATCATTACAGCTTTATTGTGAACTCGAATACAAATACTCCCGAGAAGGGTCCTGGATCACCCTTTCCCTCGGTCTTTCACACTTTGGTGTTTCCCACCTCTGGCCCTTGGTACAAGCTCTTCCTCAAACTTGGAAGGCTCTGTCTCATGACCTCTTCCTCCTGGGATCCTTCTCTCTAAAACTCAGCTCAAAGGCCACCTCCCCCAACACAGGACCTTCTATGATGCTCCCAATTGTTACTCATTGCCCCCACCCTGGAATCACGAACGTGTGCTTTGTACATATTTTGAATGGTTTATCTGTGTACGTGTTACTTTTCTACGCTTCATCCCACCTTCCCCCCAAATAAAGACTCCTTGAAAGCAGGGGGGATTGTATTCTTGCCCTCCTCTCTCCAGCTCTGGGCACCCAGGAGATGCTAATCTAAAACTTGTTAAGATGGATTGAAATAGGTTAAGCCTTTCCTTCCTTCCTTCCTTCCTTCCTTCCTTCCTTCCTTCCTTCCTTCCTTCCTTCCTTCGTTCCTTCCCTTCTCTTCTTCTTCTCCCCCTTTTTTCCTCCTCCTCCTCCTCCTCCTCCTCCTCCTCCTCCTCCTCCTTCTTCTTCTCTTCTTCTTCTTCTTCTTCTTCTTCTTCTTCTTCTTCTTCTTCTTCTTCTTCTTCTTCTTCTTCTTCTTCTTCTTCTTCTTCTTCTTCCCTCTCTCTCTTTCTCTCTTTCTCTTGCTTTGCTTATCTATAGCTAAAATCTACAAATAACTTTTAATAAGCATCCTTTATTTCCACCCTGTGGCTTTCCTCGAAGCTGTTTCCTCAGCTCACTCATCTGTCATCAAAAGTCCCCTCCCAGTCCATCCTGGGATGGGGTCCTGGTGGGCAGTTTCTTCTGCCTGGACCCTTTCATGGGCATCCCTAGGGTGTCTCTCTTCAGAATGCTAGCATTCTCTAGCTGGGGATTTGACTGTTTAACAGCTACCCACTTGGCATTTGATAAAACATTGTATTGATTTCTTTAGTTATCATAACCTACGTTTTCCAGTACATCCTCCTGCCCCTAGCCATCCCTTATGATAAAGGGATATAATAATAAAGAGGAAAAAGAGGAAAAAACACATCAGAAAAACTAACCAACACCTAGAAGAAGTCTGACATGACATGAAGTCTTCTACCCCCATCATCTTTCTCTTCTGGCAACAAGCCAGGGCTGAGGCCTTCTTAGCGTTTGTCCTTGGGCCCAGCTTGATCATTAGAATTTCGCAGCATGTCCATTGATTTGAAGCTGTGTTCTTTCTATTTAGATTTTTATCCTTGTGGTATTTATTGTCCTGCTGCTTCTGCCCACTTTACTTCCTGGATAGGGAAGGGTGGTGAGACATGTTCTCCCCAGGCTGTGCCAAGCTGGCCCAGGTAGTTCAGTGGTGGTGACCAGGTGAGCAGAGAGAAGAGGACAGATGTGATGAGGTTGGCAGAGGTTGAATCAACAGGGCTGGACAGCTGATTGGACATCTGGAGTGAGAAAGTGGGGCCCATCCAGGAAATGGACAAGGGAGGTCCATGATACTTAAAGGTGATTGTAACTTCTGAGGTGTCTGTACCCAGAAATCTCAGTGCCTGGGAAAATGAGGATCAAATGACTAAGAAAATCAGGGTGAACTCTGGGGATTCTACTGTTGGAGAGTCATGATTGTGGGTCATGGAAGTCATGGAAGGATCCTTCCTTACATCCAGAATTGGACTGTTCATAGGATAATGACTCTGGACATGGAAAGGACCTTAAAAGTCATCAAATTCAACCCTTTATTTTATAGATAGGGAAACTGAGGCTGAGGGAAGCTGAGTGACTTCCACAAGGTCACCCAGGGGCTTAGCAGCTGGAATTTGAACCTCAGGCACCTGAGTTCAAACCAAGACACTCTTGGAGTGAGTGGTGACTTCCAATTAGGCAGAGAAAGTTTCTGAACCTCCCAACTCTAAGAAGGAAAGAAGACCAAGAGAGAAGGAAAACCCTCCCTCGAGGGAGATTCTGGGAGAGAAACTCCAACAAAGAGAGAGTTTCTCTGAGCCTGAGGACAAGTTGTATTGGGTGGGGAAGTACATCAGTCAGGCCAAAGGGATCTTTCTATACTCATCAGTTTTCTGACCTCTAAAACATGGAGAAAGGCTAGTCTTTTTGCCAGCCCCTCCCTGAGCTCCTGACTTCCCATGGCAAGAAAAGAGGAGATCCTCATTCTTGGTTTGTTATTCCATCTCTCTCTTCTGGGACTTGTCCTGGTGAAAATCTGCAAGTCACCTAGACACACATAAGATGGCAGGAGAAGAGAAGCATAGAAGATAGGACTTGGACCTTGGGGGTAGGAAGACCTGGATTCAAATTCTGCCTCTGACACTTATTAGCCATGTGATCCTGGGCAAGTCACCTTCTCTAAGGCGACTTCTTCTTGTGGGAAATGATAGTAATAATCCTTATAATGCCTAACCCACAGGGTTGTTGTAAAGCTCCACTGAGATAATGTCTATCAAAAGCTTTTAAACTGTGAAAGTGCTTGACAAATACCCATTTTTAATTATTATTCTGAAGCAGTTAAGCATCCTCCTGTGGAGATACTTTGTAGACTGTGGTCTGCCAGATGATGGCCTTGAAAGTAGTAGTAGTAGTAGTAGTAGTAGTAGTAGTAGTAGTAGTAGTAGTAGTAATGGTAGTAAAGGTAGTGGTAGTAGTAGTGGTGGTGGTGGTAGTGGTGGTGGCAGTGGTAGTAGTAGTAGTAGTAATAGTAGCAATAGTAGCAGTAGTAGTAGCAGTAGTGATTTGGTAGTAATAGTGGTGGTGGTGGTAGTAGTAGTAGTGGTGGTAGTGGTAGTAGTAGTAGTAGGGGTAGTAATGGTGGTGGTCATAGTGGTGGTGGTGGTAGTAGTAGTAGTAGTGGTGGTGGTGGTGGTGGTGGTAGTGGTGGTAGTAGCAGTAGTAGTAATAGTAGCAATAGTAGCAGTAGTAGTAGCAGTAGTGGTTTGGTAGTAATAGTGGTGGTGGTGGTGCTAGTAGTAGTAGTAGTAGTAGTAGTAGTAGTAGTAGTAGTAGTTGTGGTGGTCGTAGGAGCAACAATGATAATACTGCTGGTGCTAGTAGCTGGCATTCCTATGGTGCTTGAGGATTTGCCAAGGACTTTATGCCTGTTCGCTCATTCAGTCCTTAGAACAACCCTAGGAGGAAAGTACAGACTGTCTTAACCTCCTTCTTTGGGCCCAAACCCACCCGATACCCGTTTGATTCCAGGTGGAATTTTGTCTCAGAAATGTCCATTGATGGAGCGTTTCCAGGCTAATCCAAGAGTTCAGCCAGACCATGGTCAGTTGCTCAGAGGCTGCCCCATCAGTCATCAGAGGGAGGGACACAGCCAGACTTCAGAGAAGCTGCTTCCTGAAGCTGCCCAGCCCATCCTACCCAGTGCCTGGACATCTCACTGAGTCTGATTCAAAGGCTAGAACTATGGCTCTCTTAAGGCCCCAGACCCCACTTTGCTGCTGTGCCCAAAGAACCCAAGTTTTTCCTATAACAGCCTTATGACTGAAACCTCTTCTGTGTGATGTCTGTTCTATTAAACTGTGAGCTCCTTGAGGTTAGGAGCTGTCTCTGATTTCCTTTGTCTGTCTCCAGGGCTTTGCACACAGCAAGCACTAAATCAGTGCTTTTTCATTCATTCATTTATTCACTGTACATTTGGACAGAAGCAAAAGTTTAATGTATAAGAGTGTCTCTAATTATAAATATAAAGAATGTCAGTATTATTTTAAGGGATCATTGAATACATTTTAGAGCTTGGATTCTTAACCTAGGGTTTGTGAACAGGTTAAAAAAGATGCATTTGACAACTATATTTCCATATAACTGGTTTCCTATGCAATCCTCCATATTTTTGTTTTGTGTTCAAAAACATGATTCTGAGAAGGGATCTGTAGGCTCCCCCAAACCGCCCGAGGGGTCCACAGTGCACCACTCGGTTAAGTGTTAATGTGCTCTGCAGTTGGGGAGGTGATAGAGTCCCTGAGAGAAAGCAGTGGGCACTTGATTTGGGAATGATGACCAGGAAGTGCAGGCACATGTCTCTTCACTGCCTCGACGTTCATCTGCTCTGGTCTCGAGCAAGGGCACGTGCATTGGTTTTTCTTGCTCTTTTAGACTCTTTTCTTGGACGTGCACTATGGGGACAGGGCGGCGGATGCATGTCCAGATTTATTCTCTTGCCTTTGAATGAAAAGACCGTGGCTTGAACTCTCGGCACTGTACCGTGATGACAGCCATCTCGTCTCCAGGTGACGGCAGCAGTGAGACGAGGCTGTATTCAATGGAGTGTCATTGACAGAGGCCTGTCAGTTGTCAAGTAAATTTGGAGAGGCGATGATACGTTATTGCCAAGCCTCAGTGGTCCACAGGTGGGCTCCTTCCTGCAGCCCAAATGGTCATGTCCTCAGACTCACCCTGGCTGCTCGGTAGAGTCCCAGGCTGGATTTACAGTTGTGAATTTAAGAGGAAGGACACAAGCTGACCTTCATTACATAAAGCTATGGCGATTAGGATGGCTCGACCACATACTTCAACTGCCCGTGATTATTTTTAAGTAGTTAGGCAGAGGTTTCTGAGATACATAAAAATGCTCAGTGCCTCTTGCGTCTGACGTATCCTGACAAATAGGTTGATAAGTGATGATGGCAGTTTCTGTTAAAGCTGAAGGAATTTAGAAAAATGAAACTCTCTGTTGGGCACATCATTTCTGGAGAATAAAAGCCATTGCTCTCTTTGTCCATATATCAACTGCTTCATGACAAGTAATATACACACACATATGTAACACCTGTCTCTAATATCCATAAGGCATTGTGCTGACTTAATATTGTTCTCCGGTATCACACCAATGCTTAGCAAGTTTAAATGACAAAGTATTAAAATTTCGTCTTTGTATTATAGGATTCCCCACAGATGATGAGGCCCTCCAGATGCTCGAGTTTGTGGCTGACAGTGTGCTGATTGTATCAAGCCCCAGAAGGCTGTAGAGCCCCCTCAATGAGATCTGCAGGAAGGTAGAGGAGATGGGCTCAGCCATGGGGGCAGAGGACAAAGAGAAGCATGAAATACCTCTGGGCTCCAGACTGTGCCATGCAGCTGGGATGGGCAGAAAACAGTCCAATGAATAGGTCAATAAACATTTATTAAGGGCCTACTGTATGCCAGCCGGGCACTGTGCTAAGCACTGGGGATACAGAAGAGGCAAAAGCCAGCCCCTGCCCTCCAGGGGCAGACGGGTTTTTGTCTTTCGGCCCGTAACTGAGACCAGCCCTTCTGGAGACGGGTGCTCTATGGTTTGCCAAGCCGTTTATATGAGTTGTCCCTTCGGGTGAGGGACAGCTGAGATGTCATGGAAAGATTCCTGGGTGGAGAGTAGAAGGCCCGGTGCTGACCCCAGTCCTGCCCCTGACCAGTGGTGCAACTAGGACAGGCCTTTATCCCAGCTGCACCTCTGGCACTGTGGACAGCCAATCTCCTCTCACATTCCTTCCCTCAATGGGGTACTGCCTGGAGGACTCAGCGAGATCCATGGGTGTGGGCACGGAGGCGGGCGGGAAGGGGGCAGCATGGCCATTGCAGGCCTGGCTCCTCCCGGGATAGCTGCTAAACCCGGTCATTTCTATCTCCACAGCGTCTTCCACGGATGTTCCCGTCTCTCAAGCAGCCACATGAGTACAGACCGTCATCACATCACACCTGCACTTTCACAGTCACCTTCTAGAGGGTCCCCTGCCTTACGGGTCCCCTCAGTCCCGTCCACCCTCCATTCTTCTACCAAAGAGATCGTCCCAATGCACATCTCACTGACTGCATCACTCACCTCCTGACCTCCAGGGGCAGCTTCTGACCCAACTCTGGTTTGGCATTCAAAGCTCTGAACACCCTCACAGTCTTTCTAGCTCTCTTACTCATTACTCCCCTCTACCCATCCCAAAGTCCAGCCCCTCCTGCCTGAAATGTGGCCCCTCCTCATTGACACCCTGCATCTTCCTTGCTTTTCTTCAACACTCAGGTCATCTGCCTCCTCTACAGACAACCTGTCCTGGGTCCACAGCTGCTAGTGTCCTCCTCAGATGATTCTGCCTCTCCCGCATGCCTTGCTCATGCCCACATGGGCCTCTTTTCTTCCAGACAGAATGTCAACATCTTGGGAGTTTTGCATTGGTTTGTATCTCCAGTGCCTGGCACTTAGGAGGCACGTAAAAGTGCTTATCTAATAATATCAATGATTATTAAAAATACCATAAATTATAAATGCATTTATTAACAAATATTGCAAATAAAATTTAAACAAAAATTATTGTAAGTTTTATTATACACATTATTTTAAATAGAAAATTATTATAAACCACAAATATTTATTATACATAGTATGGCAGTTATACATTATTAATATACATTGCAAATGCATATTAGAAATTATATTTATCACTATTACAAATCATGCCTATTTAATTAATAGCTAAACAAATGCCCTCTTTTCCCTGCCCGCCGTAGTCAGTGTGGACTTCACTGGACAATCAACTCCCTTTCTCTGCCACAGGTGGGCAGGCAGCCAGTCATTCCTCACCTCCCTCTGCCCAGGCATGGACAGTAGCACCTACTTCGTAAATGCCCTGGAATGTGTGAAATGTTTGGTTTGCTTTGTGTATTGTTAATAAATAAAATGAAAATCGTTGAAAATAGAGTTCACTTCATTTTGACCAAATCCTTTAAAATGCCCATTTTGTGTGTGTGTAATAATTTACATTAGTACAAAATGACACGTATGTAACTTGTAAACAAATATGTGCATACCATGGAGTGTATTACGTTTTGACTCGGTGGCTGGCTGCTTTAAGTATCCAAAACTTCTAGGTTCTCGAGCAGCCACTAGAGGGAGTCTAACACCAGAAATGAGCCCTTTGGGTTCCCCACTGGCGGCTGAGGGGCCAAAACCGGGTCTGTAGATATTCCCGAATTCCTTTTCTGCATGTGGGCCTGCCATTGTCGCTTCCCCACTTTATGGAATCGTTTGAGCATCAGAGTGGGGCTGGTGCTCAGAGAAGCAGGGGATAAAACACATTAACATCTTCATTTTTATTTATGAAGAGTTCACAGTAAAATAAACCTCTTTGTATGGAGATGGAATCCAGACTAGGCCTTGCTCTTCCCAGCAAAGAATCCAGAACGGAAGCTTCATTCTCTTAGAGCCTGCTGCCTTTTCTGCCTTTCTTTAATTCTTGTATTTGGTGCTGGACGCTGTCCCAGGTAGGAGTCTGACTTTCAGAGACAGTGCCGAGCAGGGGGCGGGTCTTTTAATAGGCTCCAAATCAAATGGGGACTTCTCCTTTTTTTCACGGAAAAGAAAACCGAAGTGGGGACCGCTTGATCTCTAGCTGGGCTGGCCCTTGCTTTGGCCTGGGAGGACTGCTCCTCCTGAGATGGCCAGCATCTGCCTTCTGTCCACATTAATGGAGCAGTCCTCGTTGTCTGTATGTCAGTGGGTCTGTCTGTCAGGCCTGACCTGGGGTGACTTTTTTCCACTCTGGCTGAAGCCTGCTTCTTTTTTTCTGTTACTGCGAAGATTCTAGGCAAGCCGTCAGAGTTTTGCAAGCAGCTTGAGACACGTATGTCAACGGTGACTGTCTGTTAGTTGTCGAAGTGTTTCCCCAAATCCTGTCCTCATTTTTCTGCTGGGTGGACTGTACAGGTACAATTGAGTAGACCCGACTCTGTATGACGGGACCCTATGGAGGGAGTAAGAGGTCATTTGTCCTTGGCGATGCAAAAGGAAAAGTATGACAGCGAACCAGGGAAGACACAATGTCTTTAGAAAATCCTCATGAAAAAGAGAAAAACCCGACAGTTTTGTAGAGATTCATGGAAATGGCAGACTGGAAACTTACAGAGCTGGCTCCCAGGTGGTCAAAACACACAGACGCTCTGCCTGCAGCTGCCATGGAGTCCTGGAGAAAAAAGGATTATTCCTCTTCCTTTCTCAGGTCTGAGCTGCAAGATGCAGTTTTCTTCTGCTCATTCCTCCTTTTGCAGCATTGGGAGAGTAAAATACCACAAACCCTAGGGTAGAATATTTATTGCATTGACATAAACACACACACATGTATATGTACGTATGTATGTATGTGTGTGTGTATATAAACTTAAGACTTGGCTTCAGTGCCCCTTCTCGATGGAATCTTTCTTGTTCCCCTTGACTGTTGGTACCCCCCAATTCCTAAACCTCTTTGTATTTTTATTTTTTGTTGTATAAACCTATTTTGTGCATGTTTTCTCTCCAAACAGAATGCAGACTCCTCAAAGGCAGGGGCTGTTATCCCTGTCTCATTGTATTCCCAGAACCCCCCCCCCCCCACACACACACACATACTGCCTGGTGCATAGTAGACCCTGACTAACAGACTGGTTGATTAACCGGTTTATTTAAGAGAGAAAGAAGATCATCTTTTGACTCTTTGACCAATGGGTTAGAAATGCCAAAGTGTCTCTTCTTAATTTAAGCTTTCTTTGCAGGGAACACAGCTCCGAGGGCTTCAGGAAAGTCTGGTCCTGGCTAGAGATCTCTGCTTTCCTTCTTCTCTGGGTACTGGGAAGCCATCCCCAATGGCAATATCCCAATTCCAGGATTGTGATGGACACCAGCAGGCCTTCAACTGCCTCCAAAACTGTGTGTATATGCAGTGTGTATTTTCAAAATATGATATAGCTATAGAAAATGAAATTTTACTATGATAGTGTCTCCTGAAAGGTACTGGCTTTGAGGTATGGTTATTGGCAAGCAGATTTCAAAGTGGAAATTATTCTCTCTCTCACATGACTTAGCTACATCTGCAGAGAGAAGAAATGACTAATAATCTACTGAAATGAGAAGAGGAGAGGGGAAATGCCAAGAGAGGATGCCTGCCCCCTTAAGGAATTGTATAGATTGCCACAGAGATTACCCAGTCACAGTCAGAGCCATTGTGATCATAGCAAGTAATTATGGTAAGGGAAGGCATTTGGATAGCACCTTCTAGTTGCAAATGCTATGCTAAGCACTTTTTACAAATATTATCCTATTTGATCCTCAAACCAACCTTGAGAGGTAGTTGGTTTTATCATCCCTGTTTACACTTAGGGAAACTGAGGCAAACAGAGGTCAAGTGAATTGTCCAAGGTCATATACTTAATAACTGTCTAGAGCTGGATTTGAACTCAGGACTTCCTGATTCTAGGCTCAGTGCTCTACTCACTGCATTCAGCCATTATCCTGGGATGCAGGTCCCATGAGATGCAGCCTGGCTACCGCCCCGAAGACCCAGGAAGGAAAGTTTTTGCTGCCAAAGTGCTTTGTCAAATGGTTCAGCATCAGAAACTGATATCATCTTATCCATGGAAATGCCAGTAGAAAGGAGGCATGACCACCTTCTTTGCTGCTGCATCCCAAGGACATGAGTCCTTTCCATCCAACTTGCTGTTGAAACCTTCCATATACATATATATATATATATATATATATTATCGCCTTCTATTTCATTTATACTTTTCTCAGTACCCCAGCCCCACTAAAGAACCTTCTCTATAGCAGACATGTCAGTTTAAAACAAAGGTGGTGTATGCCTCATTCCTCACCTGCTGCTCACCACCTCTCTGTCAAGGGAAGACACCATTTTTCATCAGCAGCCGTGGTCATTTTTTAAAAAAATCAACCATTATGTTTTTTTTTTATTTACAGTCTTTAGTTTTGTCGCAAGTGAAGACACATTTGATTTTAGCTGATACTGTCTTAGCAGGTAGCAGTAGAGATTCTGCGGTGGGATGTGTACTCTCTGCCCAAGAGAATTCCTCAAGGTCATGGTGAAGATAAGCAGTGTTTATGGAAGCCTCCCCCCAGGATCTCCCCCTTCTGTTTCCATAATCAAATGAATCCGATGTGTGGAAGTGAAGTAGACTGTCCTCATAATTTGACAGCAGCCTATTGTCTGTGGCTTCCCCAGCAATGAATGGGCCAGCTTGGAACTTGGCTTTTTAATTGAAAAAGCTAATTGTAGCTGATGGCCCTTCATCTATCTTTGGGTTTGGCAGGTTCAGAAGTGAAAGGGGAGAACTAGGAAAGAGGATGTGGAGAAGAGGTTGGCTGAAATCTGTGAGGAAATGCACATTCGTTTGTGTATGCTCACATGTTGTGCTCTGGAAGTCTGTGGGACTGAAGTTTCAGGGATAGTCGTTCACCCATGGCCAGCGGCTATATCCTACATGCATTATTTCTCATCTATTTGTTTCTATTCCTCCCACCATGGAATCCAATGTTCACTGGCAACACTTAGCACTTTTGAACCAAGGTGACATCTCTGGATTAGTTTAAAGGCTACTAAGAAATTCTGAGGAAAAGTCTGTTCAGAAACTCAAGAGAAGATGGTGGTGAGATTTGGGAGAGAGGACTGTGGGGTGCCATTTCTACATCAGAGGGTCTGTGACCTCATGAATGGGTCCATTCATTCTCATTCATTCACTGTTTATGCATTTCCTAGGCCACTATCCTAGAGCTATACCATGTACCGTGCTAGGGACTTGGAATATAAAGATCAGAATTAAGCATCCCTTGACTTCAAGGTTCTACGTGTGTTTTGGAACAGCGGTCATTTAATTACTGTTTGAAAAGAAGAAGGCATAAATTCCAGGAAGTTGTGAAATAAAGAGAGTAGGGGGTTTGGGTGTGAAAAAAGCAAAGGCCTCGCAGCATTGTCAACCAACACTCATGGGCTCGAATGGAAAGGACCAACATTAGCCAGAGCATGGAAGGAAAACACAGAATCTCTGCTCGTAAGTCCAAAGTGTTAGGAGAAGCTGGGTTTTCCTTCCTCCTCAGCTATATGAAGTGCAGTTGCATGGCTTCAAGTGACTTTAAAAAAAAAAAAGTTTATCCTGTTTTTACAGACATTTACAGATTGCCGCTACTCTGTAAGAGCTCTCTTGTAACCAAGTAAAACAAATAGGCCAAACTCAAAGTACAGTATTTTCACTTCATGTGAAAATGCATGCAACGTGCTCCTTCTTCTCTATTAAAAAAAATCATAGATCAATTTTTAATTTCTCTCACCTCCCTCCTCATTGAAAAAAAGAAAAAAAATACAAATTCCTTGTAACAAATATGCATTATTGAGCACAAATATCCCTGATTGATTTTATGTAAGATATCGATATCTCATTCTGCACCCTAAATCCATCACCTTTCTGAAACGGATAGTGAGTTTCATCGT